AGGAAATGGCTAATATTACCATTACAGTTAATCACTAATAACAATTTGATTTTTTTTTTCTTCTTTTTTATCTTTTTCTTTTTTTTCTTTTTTTCTTTTTTTTTCTTTTTTCTTTTTTTTCTTTTTTCTTTTTCCTTTTTTCTTTTTTTTCTTTTTTCTTTTTTTTTCTTTTTTCTTTTTTCTTTTTTCTTTTTTTTTATCTTTTTTTTTCTTTTTTTTTCTTTTTTTTTCTTTTCTTTTTTTTTACAATTTATCAACCCTTTGTAGGTTATTTAAAGCTGAGACATATTTTTGAATTATAAGAATAATTTTTATTTTTTTGAAAGTGAGTATAGTATTAACAATTTTTTTAGGATAATAATGATTTTCATGTCCTACTATTTAACCCTTAACTAGGGGAGCAAAGTTCAACTCCTATCTTTCCCAATAATATTTGTGTAATAGTGAATGTAATGAACCCAACTAGAATTTGAACTTGGCTCTCCGATTTTGCATTCTGAGTCGTTATCCATCATATGACCCGTATATCTAAACTTACAGCACCTGGTATTCCCAAGCAGTCACCAATCTGGTTGGGGGGATGGTTTCATGATGATCTGCTATTGATTTACATTCAGTATACAAACATAAAAAGTAACAAATGAGGTATTTACATTATGCACATTCAGACTAATATCCTCGTCTTTGTTATTATCCCAACATTTCGGTCATTGTGCTCTATGGCCTTCTTCAGGTGTTTGTCACTCTTACCACAGGGAATTTCAAACTGAACCCTTTATTTAATCTATGGAAGCAGCAGGTTTTCATTTAGCAGACTATTTAAGTGTGTGACTAGATTGGTAATTAGGTTTCACCTTTTTACTGTTGAACTAGTTAGATGCAACTACCACTTCTATTCTAACAGTTTATTTTCTTGCCTGTTGGTTCCTAAATATCTCACCTCGTTCTGATTTAATACTGATCGGTTATTGCTTTCCCTGTTTCCACTGAGTCTGAATGTGTACAACCCAGCCCAGGGATTGAACTCACAATTACTATGTGATCAAATTCACAAACCAGGGCTTTAGTTACAATTTGATACTAGCCTAGAGGGTTAAAACTTTGGTTCATGAATTTGTGGCATAATAATTGTGAGTTCAATCCCTAGGTTGGGTAGTTCAGACTCAGTGAAGATAGGACTAGCAATAACTAAGCAGAACTATAAAAAAAAAAGGGCTGAGATATCCCAAAACATGGACAGTAGAACAAGATCAATCTAGCCTCATAAATTAAATAAATGGTTCAATTCCCTGGGGGTTATTCAGATCAACAGCACCTGGTAGCAACAAAAATGAAGACATTAGTCCCAGTGTAAATAATAACAACTTCTCATCCCATTTATTTCAGACAAACGAGGTAAGTTAACAATAAAAATTTGTTTGCCTTTATGCATTAACTTGTACACGGCTCTAAAGAGGATGTAGGTAAGTGTAGATAACTTATTGAAGATAATTATTGATTGAAAGTTGTTGGTTTAAACTATTGTTGCAGGCAATATATTAGCCCACAAACAGATATTGAATAATGGAAGACAACAACAAAGACTTGAGTTAAAAAAAAAAATATATTGCCAAGTTTATTTTTGTTAAAGTAAATATATCAACAAAAATAATGTTTGTGTCTATATTTCTGAGATGAGGTATTATGTACACTATTTACATTATTCATACTATTGTCGACATATTTATTACAACATTTCAGACATTGTACATTCCGGCCTTCTTCAGGTGGTTGGAATGTTGAACTGAACCCTTTATTTCACTCACTGGGGTAGAGAGGGGGAGATAACTAATAACTGACATCCATTACACATGGAACTAGAACAGTCTACTCCAGGGAGTGAAATAAAGGGTTAAGTTAGACATTCCAACCACCCAAAGAAGGCCGGAGTGTACAACGGCCGAAACGTAATAAATATAGTGACAAAGATTAGGACAATAGTCCAAATAATGTAAAAATAATGTTACAGTGAAGTAGGCAAAAAATAACGCTGCAAGCTCATGTAGAGGTTGAGAAGAGCATTGTCATGAGTTTTCACAGGAGAGAGTTGTATTGAAAAGGACAGTTTAATGCATATCGTTGCTACTGGCAAATTTGGCAGGAGTAGGAGGTCTACTGGAGATGGCTGGAGCAGTGGCCGATGGAGAGGTGGAGGTGATAACTGGAGTCATGGTGCCTGCTGGAACCGATACTACACTTTGATCCTCATCTTGAACATGGAATGCTTGAGTATTTACATCCACACTAGAGTGGGATGCAACACAAGATCACACAAGTTATTTAATGTAGGGAAACTACACTCGGGTCATTGGTCATTTTTTTTTTTTTTTTTTTTTTTTTTACCTAGCCCACACTTGCACAGGATCAGGAACAAAGCTTGTCTTAGCTGGTCATGGCGGCAGAACAGATACTACAATCTGATCATAATACTTATTTGCATTAAAAATACAAAATGTGCTCCAAATGCGAAGAGGGGTGTGGGGGTGTGGGAAGGGACTGGTCTTCTTTAGTCTTAACTCAGAACTAGCTAGTTAGTCTCATTGACCAATTTGTACTTACAATTTTCCTTTCACCATAACAACACATTTGCACTTAGTTGTCACACCACAGTCACCAAAATACCTCATTTACTAAAAGAAAATTCTAGGATGAAATTTTATTTACACAAATCATGGGGTGGGGACAAAACCAATGAATATATACAATGAATGAAATCTATACACAACAATATAAATACATGTGTTAGTATTGGGACCCCCACACACACACACACATGCACTGAAAGGAAAGCCTGGTTAACTGGTTGAAATGGACAGATATTGGGAATATCTGATTTTGCCAGAGAACAAAGACATCTGACACTGCAAACATATGGGGGGGTAGAAAAAATGTGGGGCAAAAACAGAGGGGCCTATACACTTGCATACCCTAGCTAGTTTTGAAAGGCAAAAAAGAAGGCCTCGACTAGATCAAATGACTGAAAAATGAAAAGTTCTACCTTACCTTAAACCAGGTCTGGGACAACAACAATATCGTCATAGCCACTGACCAAGGAATGACTATCTTAAGTTTCTTTGAGGCGTGTTTATATCTTGAATCAGTCTTACAAGAACATTGGATAAGCTTTCTCCTCCTGTTGTTTTTAAAAATGTGGGAGTGTCAATTGACTACAACACTATTACTCAAGTTTCTTAGTGTTGTAGCATACCTACAAACAATAATGCATATGTCGCGTCCCCATTCACCTAAATTCAGTAGTAAATTCAGTATGTTGTTCTGCAGTTGGAGATTCATTGTGGAATTCACTTGACTCACTTCTAGAAGTTGACTTACTTCTATGCACCACTGGCAAATCTTACATGTGTTGTTCTTGTCCTAAGTATTATCATTCATTAGCAACCTTCATTTGATTATTCTATTCAGTAACCTTCCCTAGGTTACAACACTTAGAAAAAACAACAAAAAGTGCTCAATGAAAAACAGAGTGATAAAATTTGAAGTAACATGTGTCATGGGCTGAAATATTCATAGATTGGCTATGAAGGAATGATGCTAGTGCTGTGAAATTTTGCATGCATTAATTTTAGTACTTCTTATTAATATCTGCATTATTAAAAATTTCACAGCTCTAGAATGACTCCTTTATAGTTAGCCTATGAACTTTTCAGTCCAACCTTATAAAATAGTTGGTTACTCACTACCATGATAATGATAATAGTAATATTAGCCATTTTCCTATAAGGAAACATTTGGCAATCATGGACCAAACAGCCAGGGCTGATTTCGGTTGAAATTTATGAAATCATTCTCTTACAACAATTTTTCATGTAAAGAGGTTTCTCAAGTCTAGTATCTGTCATCACTCTTTCCAGTATCAGGGAGGTGTTCCTTCCTAACCTTTTGTTTGAAGTAGTGTGAAATGACTACATATTATGCCATTATTTTCTCTTCAAGTTACATGTTATATAGTTTTGACACTTTGGCTCATTAAGCAGTATGCATATAGGGACAATTTTATAATCCAATCAATATATTTTTTTATATCATAGAAGATATTATAATGGTTAAACCATTAATTTATTTAGATCTTTTTACTATGGTAATGAGTGAGTAAGCAACTATTTTACATCTTAATTCAGTTTGTGTCTATCTCTCTCTCTCTCTCTCTATATATATATATATATATATATATATATATATATATATATATATATATATATATGCAGTAAGTATTCATCCAAACAACTTTAATTAAAAAAGAACTGGCAAGTTATATCAACGTAAATGTAAGGATTGTATTTTGCAACATGTATTTATAAACAGAAATTTATAGAGTATTGTTTATTAGGCATTAAATTACTTAATTAAATTGACTTACTTCTACACACCACTGGCGAATCTTATATGTGTTGTTCTTGTCCTAAGTATTATCGTTCATTACCAACCTTCATTTGATTACTTAGCATCCTCTATAATGATAGTTTTACTTCCATTTATAAATACATATTTCAAAATAAAATCCTTCCATTTAACTTGATAAAGTCCCTCAGAGAATGAAATGCATTGATAAAGAAAAGTTTTCCTTTTATTCGTAATCATAGACACACACACACACGTGCGCACATTTAATTTTTAAATCGACATTTTTATTACTTCAAATGTCATTATAGGGGATACTCATATTTGAGTAGATATTTTGTTTTTATTTTAAACAGTGTATATTATGCCTATCGATCTGCACATTTGAAAATGTGCCCTCTGGTAGGTATCAAACCTGCATCCCACACACACACACACACACATATATATATATATATATATATATATATATATATATATATATATATATATATATATATATATATATACATACATATACATTTTTTTTCTTTCCAGTAAATATAAATTTATCTGTGTGCATAATTTATTTAAATTTTCTTTTGTAGTCTTATGAAGAAAACATGCCTCGGATGAGTACACCTCCACCATGGCTCAGAGATCAACTCACTGCCCATTCAGATAAGCTAAATGCTTTCTCTGATCGTCTTAGCATTTTGTCTGACCATGTGACTGAGGCTCAAATAAAGGCATCAAACCAAGACTCAATGGGTCCAAATGAGTTTATAAAGCCCTCTTCAAATCCAGCTGATAAACCTTCTACGTGCAATGCCTCCAATTCTAAAACTAACCCAAGTCGATCATCTGCAATAACACATTCACATGACAACTTCAAGTCTAAGCAGTACGCGACAGTTCGGCCACTAAACTGCCAGCAGTTACCGTCATTAAATGCTGGAGAGAGTGCCATTTCTCAAGATCAGAGTGGTTGGAAGATGGATTTTGCAACCATTAACAAGGGACTTACACACCAATTTGATCAAGACTTATACAGTGATGAAGAATTGGAAACTATAAAAAAAGGCAGCCACATGTCGGTTCTTTCACCAAACGATATCCTAGAAAATAGTCTGGATGCTTTGGCAACACCTGAGAATGAAACCGGTCATGAGGAGCCATTTCCAGTGTTCAGGACAGATATTTGTCGGCGGAAAAACAGTGCCACTCAAATGAACGGAGATTTTGAAAAACCAAGAGAGAGGGAAAAACACGGTGAGCCACGTAAAAGATGCTCATGTCAGGGAATAAGTCAGACCAATAACCTGTCCCATGATGGCACTTCAAAAACCACCATTCCAAATATCTCTCGGCCTGATACACTGGATCTCAGCCCGCCCACCCACAACTCTGATTCTCCATCACAGGAAGACTCGCAAACGTCTCCCCTCTCCCCTTATTTAACTAAGAGATACAGCAGAAAGAAGGCAGGTGGGTTTTCTGAATGTGAGAACAATTGTTGTAAACCAAGGCAACCATCATCTTCATCGTCATCAGCATCAGCAAGCCATTACAGCAACACGATGGGTTCTCGTCATAAATCCAGAAAAGATGAAAAAGACGGCCATAAAGGCAAGAAATCGGCCAAGAATTCCAATTATTACTCTCCAGAAGATCCCCATCCATCTTCATACCTGGCCTTTTTGGCCCCATTTCAGCAGACAGAGCTCCACCACCCCGGTTCGAAAAAATTGCCAGTCTGTGCCTATGGTTATTCAAAGTCCCACGATGCCGAAATCCGTCACAGTAAGATTTACCATAATGGATTGGAGCACAGTAGACAGAATTTACCGTTTCTCTTCAACAAGAAAACTCTGCCAGATGTTTATTTGGCATGCAGTGAATGGCGTAAAAATGTCATGAGTGCATGTGCTATAGATGGAGAGGCAATGACCACCGAGCTGAAAAAACTATGTAGCATCTCGTCTGATTCTAGCTATGAAAGCATTAAAGCAGAACACTCAGGTAGTAAGGACGATGGCTATTCGACAATGTCCAGTGACATGCAGCCAGAGATACTTGAAAGATTCAGTGATTCAGCCATGATGAAACGTTTGAGTGGACGTAACAGCATTGAGCTGAACGTCGACTGCTGTGGGAAAATAGTGCCTCACGTGAACAAATCTAATAATGTTGCTCCATCTCGGAATAACCGTGCCAGCAGCTCTCCGACCGACTCCGAGCACAGCTCAGACTTGAATGGTGCCAGTGAAAATTTTAACTCGCAAGAGTTTTTTACTTCTTCAACTATCATCTCCAACAACCGCCAAAGTTTGGCAGCTAGGAAGCAGAGGGAGGGAAGGTTTCACAATACCAACCTAAATAGCCATAATGGAGGAGCTACTGATAACTGTACACACACTTTCCCAAAATTTTGTTGCCCTTCAAAACGAAAGAGTCTCTTAGAAGCATCGACCTCATCATCGTCGTCTTCATTTCACCAATCAACAAAGTCTTTACATTGCTGTTCAGGTTATTTTCCTGACACTAATTCATTAGAAAGTTCATCAAGATCTCCTTTCCTGATGTCTGATGCCAACAATACAAACGGCTGTGACAAAACTGCTAGAAAGTTGCGTCAATCTTCAGATATGGCCGACTGCAAGAAGGTGCCTTCATACAGTCGCTTCACATTCCCATCATCTCAGAGATTCCAAGCATCCATGATAAAGAGGGCCAAATCCGATTCTCATCTTTTTGTCAAGAATAGTTCCAAATCAATTACATCTCTGAGAGATTCTTTGTTTTTTGGTAATTTAGATAGCAGCATCAGTGATTGCACCATTTCTTTGTCAGACCTCAGTCCAAGCCGTTCTTCCCAGTCACCATTACCATTGACTGGCTCTTTAAGACGTTCACCATGGCAGCCATTGGTCAATGTTGACCAGCAGGACACTAACTTGAGCATGCAATCAAAATGGCTTCAGAAAAAATTTGTAAGTACCTGTAAGCTTATAGCTTTTTTCTCTCTCTCTCTCTCTCTCATGTGTATACATCTATATACTGTGTGTGTGATTGATTGATTGATTTGTTTTTTATGGCTTATCAACCTTTTATTTAAAGCCAGGAAATATTTTTAAATTGTAAGAATAGTTTGGAGCTAATAATGATTTACTGATAAAAGTTCTACTAAATTAACCCATAACAAGTGGGAGAAGAGGTGGATCCATACTTTCCCAAGGCTATTTGTGCATAAGTGAATATAATGGATATGACTGGAATTGGAACTTGGCTCTCCAGTTTCCGATTCCAAGCTGTTATCCATTACACCACCTGCATATCCAAGCTTACAACACCTGGTACTGATGAGAATCTATGTTGCTTAAATTCAGTAACTATATGAGAACCAGTGTTTCAACATATGGCCATAAACTTTTTGTGTAAACATAAACACCTAAACATAGGTGATTTTAAATATAAATGTTAGAAACATAACTGTTACTACCCATAATGCACCACTAACCAGCATATATAGTCAAGCCAAATCAAAACACACATGGCCTAAGCATTGCTTTGAAGCACTAAACAGACTTGGTATTGACCTCAGTATCCAGTTCCTTATCCATCTTCCTTATAATGGATAATCCATTAATTTCTGAGAAATTACTTTGTTTCAGATATGAAAATAGACTTAGCACATATGGGCTTTGAAAAGTCTTGACGAGATGTCCTTCTCGTCATAAGGGTAACTGACTCTTGATTTGCCATAAAGTCTATCATGGTGAATGATCTAAAAGCATGCACAGCTATACAGATTTCTCCTGCATAAGAGAGGTGCAGGTTCAAATTTTGTCAAAGGGCACATTTCCTTTACTAAAGACTCTTGAAAAACCCAAGCTGTCAGACAAAAATTAGACTGTTTAAAAAAACATTTACTCGAACGTGTGTATCTACAAAATGAATATAGTAATAATATATATATATATTTATATATATATATATATATAAAATAATAATAATAATAATGGACTCTCCCATCAGTTTTGACGTGTGAAGATCTGACAGCTTATTGATTCAGTTATGAAATTTAAGATAAGAACAAATCAAGGTAAACCGCCAGAAAACCCACAAATATATATATATATATATATATATATATATATATATATATATGATAAAAAAGTAGTTATAAATGCTATATTTATGAGTAAAAGTGCTCAATATCAGAGATATTAAATGCAATATTTAGCTTTTCCTTGTCTTTATTCATATTGACCTTTTCAAGATATACTCTATCTGAAATTTTTCACATGCACGTACACACACACACATATATATATATATATATATATATATATATATATATATATATATATATATATATATATATATAATATGCTAGAAATATCACTGATGATGTGTACCAAAGCATCAAATAGATGTATTTTATGAAATATATTAATTTTTAAAGATTTTTATTTTTTTTAATTTTACATATTTTTATTACTTCAGGTGTTATCTTTGATGGATATCCATATTTCAATAGATGCTCTGTTTTATTTTAAACAGTATTTATTTCATCATTAACTGCTCGGCTAAATTTGCTTATGTTTCAGATACAAAACTGAGCAGATATGCCTTTTGATAAAATTCTGAACAGGGAGTATGCTTTAAAGATCCTTGCTTCATTATGAAGCTCTTCATAGCTGAGTAGTTAAAGCATGTCAGATCAGATGATAGTCTCTCCTGCAAAAGGGGACACAGGTTTGAATCCTGTTGGAGGGCACATTTTCTTTAATAAGTTTTTTTTCGAGTGTGCATCCCAGTAGACAAAATACATACTGTTTAAAATAAAAAAAAAAAATATCTACTCAAATATGGGTATCCGCTAAAAATAACATTTGAAGTAGTAAAAATTTTGGATTAAAAAAAATGAAATCCATTAATTCTTTAGAAATTAATTTTTACACTTTAGAATTACTTACATAAAATAGCTATAATCAAATGATCTTTTCCAATATAGTAGAGACAGGAAAAAATAATGATCTTGTTTGTTTTTCTTTTTGTAGTGTTTGAGAAAGAAAAACTTTAAAAAATTATATAAATCAAGATTTGATAAAATGAACAAATTAGACAGATTCAAATTATAGCAGACACATTAGCAGAATATATTTTGTTAATCTATTTCAGACAAAATAAAACCTTTTTTTATTGGAAGTTATTAAGAGATGATAACTGAATAGATACAAACTTGAAATTTAATTATAATTTATGGTGAAAGATAAAAATTACACAGCATTTAAAATGTATATCATATTGTTGATCAGCAAAGTTTCAGATTTTAAGGGTGTATAGTCAATAGAAATTTTATTCCTTTCGAGTAACACACATTCAAACTGAGCTGAATATTTTTTCTTTTAACTATGGATATTCATATGCCCACAACATCTGCATGATAGGTATAAATAAAAGGATACCATATCAAGTAGTCATTCTTAGTAACAGTCAGAGTAGCAGTAGTAAGAAGAGTTAATAAGAAATTTTCCGGCATCATCTCTATTTCCTATCAGACAAAGACTATCTTCAAAGGAGAATTTTTACAATGAGAAAAAATAAGTTTTGTAAAATCTCCTCAACAATTTCTGGAATATAAAAAAATTTATTTGGTGGATGAGTTAAATATTTTTTACAAGAAGTTTTTATTCACTCAACCTTCCACAAACTCTTTATTCCAATCTCAGCCTTTTTCACATGATTTTTCTTTAACTTTCTCTCTATTTTCGCCACTCCTTTTTGTATTTGTCATTTCATTTTTCCTTTCATTTCATTCTCTCTCCTTTTGCTACTCCCCTTTATTCTTTTCTCTGATCATTTCCCCCTTTCTTCTCTCATCTTGTGAAAATTCCAGATGTAAACATTCATATACAATCAGAAATCTTCGTATCACATCAACCTTATTTTTCCCTCTCCTATAATAATTACCACCTCTGCTTGTTTATGTAAAGAAAAAGCAAAAAAAATTTACTCTTTTATTTATTTACCTTTTTTTTTTTTTCTTTTTTTTTTTTTCCAACCAGATTTTGAAGGCCGAACATTCTCCTTACAACGAAAATAAACTGCACCACACTTTGGGAAGCAACCAATCACATACACCAGCTGTCGACCACACCCTGAGTGCCTGTCATACAAGGAACACTAACAAAAACGTAAGTTCAAAAAAGCAAAATAAAAAAAAGACCTTATAGGAAGTCACAAATCTGTTTGCATGTAAAAAAATATATATATATATATATATATATATATATATATATATATATATATATAAGAGAGCTGTTGGCAAGGAAGATAACCTACAGCTGTATAAAGAAATGTAAAATAATCCATATTGAAATTTTGCTTTTATATATGATTAAAAAGAATTTATTTTAATTAATTGGGTGACATCAATCCTGAATTTAGTATGGCTCATTGGTTATGATTTTGATAAAAAGATATTTCTATGTTTGTTTAACAGAGTAAATCTTCAAAGGTTTTTATTCCCTGTTACAAAGAGAACAAAATGTAGTTGTTTGTCTCATTCATATGATTTTAAAGGAAGTTTTATTCTAATGGATGACTTTCTTGAAGAAAGGCCATAATCACTTTTCCTTACCAACTGGTAAACAAGGCTGGATATATATGCAGACATAGTCAACAATTGTGTCCTTATCTTTTCCTTTCTGGTAACCATTTTGAAAATGGTAAGAAAATCAAAATGGAAATTATAGAAGGCCAGTTAGATATACTTTCTTCCTTTTGTTAAATTATTTCATTCACTATCCAAAATTGTATAAGTATGTGAACTGATCATTTCACTGTAAGCCTCATATATGAAGTGGTATTAATATACCAAGATTCTCCACTTCATCTACTTCCTAAAATCATTCCACATAACTAAAACTCAGAATATATTTTGAAAAGGTTTTTTTGGTTTGACTGAGTACTTTTTAGCTTCAATATTTTTCAGCATATTACCACTTCCAGCCATATGTTTTTGAGGTGCAGGAACCATCCAAATTATGGCCATCCAAAATATGGCCTGTAACATATATTGCTGTTGCCACTTCTGAAATGAAGATCATTAACCATTGTTAAAAAATCTGCTTGGATGACAGCACAGGCATTTTGTTTTAGCATTTGTAACTGCCTTGGAGGGCTGATGGGAACTTTCTCAAGCACATGATTATAGGTGATGGGATCTGGTTGTCTCATGTCATATCAGAGACCAAGCTTGATTATATGAACTGGAATACAAAGTTCAACTGTCAATGAAGTAATTGTTAGCAACTGTGTTCAGGGATACAAAAGGTTTGCTAGTTGTAGGCTTCATACCACATGGTCAGATAAGTTAACTCTGTCAGATACCATGAAAAAAATGAATGAAGGAAGCTGTTTGTAGGAAAGAGAACAGGATATTTGTGTAAGGGTGTCACATAGTGCTGCATTACAATGCCCCTCCCGCATACAGCCAACTTAATAAAAGACTGGATTCGACAATATGGTTGGCATGTTTTTACCATATCCACTGCATAATCTTGAATTGGCTCCTTCGGATTATCTTCAGTTTGGGCCACTGAAACAAAATTTGTTTGAGAAGTAGTATATCTAGATTATGCTTAATTATGCTCAAGTTTTATTTTCATTTTTTTTATCTTTCCAACTTCAAGTTTTACAGATACACTGTTCATCAAGGTTAGATAATTCTTAAAATCACATTGTTTTTATTTATATAGGTTGATAAACCATAAAAAAGAAACAAATCAATAAACTGAGAAAATATGCCACTAAAAAATACCTCTCAGAAATATTTTCCTCATAATGGTATATTAGTGGCAATGGTGTCTTCATCTAGCTGATGTCTTACCAGTATGTGTAAGGTATTTCTTGGAGATATTTCTACCACATCTTGTAGCTTGATGATAAAGCAAGGATTGAATTTTTCTTTTACATTAGCTTATATATATTTCTTAAGTTTTTTTTTTCTATTTCTTTTTTTTTTAAATTTTTTTGTAGAATAAAGAAAATTTATCATCATCATCTTCATCATCATCATTGCAATCACCAGACGAAATAAAAAGTGCAGAACAATGGCTGCTGCAGTTTTCCAAAGAAGATATCGAAAAAAACCTGGCATTTTACCATAAACGCCAAACCCAGAATGCTCACAATGACCATTGCCCAGACAGTGCTGAAGGTGACCACACAATTTACTGGCAGACACTGCAGCACAAGCCACACCCTACAAGGATTCCTGTTTCTCGTTATATGACCCTACCAATCAGTTCCGGGCAAGCTAACATATCTCAAGAAGATGCTATCATTCCACTTAGTCCTGTCAGCCCTGTTGAGGTTGAGGAACAGAAGAAATTCCGCCAGGAGTTCTACAGTCTTTGCTGCGTGGAATCAAATCGGAGTCTCTTTTCTGGATGCAGCCATGAAGAGAACAGGGTACCGATGCTGGTTCCACTGACCAATGCCAAAAGCGAAGAACCCTGTCAAGAGTGCACAGAGTCGGACATTAAAGAAATCGAAAATGTTTCTAACCAGATTGACAATCTGTCAAAAACGGTGAAAGATCTTCACCTGAGTTTCTCAAGCCTGAATAGCATTGAATGCAATTCCGATGTTGGCAGCGATCTACTGACTCCTCCTAGCGGACACAACAGCAGCCTTGAGGGTTATCATTGGGTGGAAGATGAGTTTTACTTGACCCCTTCCAGTGGAGATATCATCTTCTCAAACAACAATTCTAATGAGTCATCTGCTTCGTGTGAGTGGATGAATGAATACGTGAATGAAAGTGTTGAAGTTTTTGATCTTCCCGAGACCTGTGATGACGAGCATCAGTTTATGGAAAAACTGTGTGCAGTGGCTAACAAAAGTGTCAACGAGGGGAAGATAAGTGGAGGGAAGGAAAAAATGTCAACACCTGAAAAAGATGTGGAAGACATTCTTGTTACCAACCCACAGGTGAGACAAAAACATTTTTATTATACTAAAGAAGGTTTATATTAATATTTTTTTTAACATTTTGAAAAGTCAAACTAATATCTTCATCATCATAACAAAGATGAGAATATTAGCCCAATAATGTAAACAACAACAATTCCTCATTTCGAAAATTCAGATAGAATATATATATATATATATATATATATATATATATACACACATACACACACTCACACATATATGTGCATGTTTCATTAAAAACTATAGACAAGGTACGATTAAGCTTTTTATTTAATTTTTCTTGTATTTGAACAAGTGCTTTCTTTTTTGGACACAGAGTGTGTAGAGATTGTGTGTGTGTGTGTCTGTATGTTTATATATTGGATCGGATTTCCTACATTTTTCAACCGATTTCAACAAAACTTCACAGGACTATGTAAAATTACCTTGCGGTGGTTCTAACAGCGACAAAAATTGGAAAAACACAATTGTTTTTGCATGAAATCAATTTGAAAACACAATTAAGAGGCATCACGAGAATGAAAGGGGGACGACTCATATCAAGTTATACTTATTATAAAACCCAGGTTGTTTGTGTGTGTTCGTTTATATATGGAATCGGATTTCCTACATTTTTCAACCAATTTCAACAAACTTCACTTTTTTTTTTTGGCAGGTAGTGTTTCTTATTGTCTTGCACACTTTTTTCTTTATTTTTACATTCAGAATGCTTTAAAAATTCCATTTACAAGACAATTGTTTATAATAAAATTCTATTCAATTGGTAGAATCATAATGATTGAAAACAATGTTTTTGTTTAAGTTTGGGTTTGACCAATTCATAAAAAAAAAAATAAACTAATTAAGACATGCGTGTCCATCAACCTTAAACAATAATCTTTGTCAATTTTATTTTTCAGTCTTTATGATGGTCGATACTTGATCTATCTCTTACTGTTACATCCCCGGGCAACGCCGGGTACTACTGCTAGTGTTCTATAATTCCGAACACTTTTATACTTTTAGCCGTTATCAAAGATGATTTTATTTTTCCTTTTTAAATGAGTTTATGGGTTGTGTGTATGTTTTTAGTGTTAGAGAGATATTTTATTTTCGGAACACAGCACATAGTGGCAGTGTTGGCTTTTTTTCTTTTTTATTATTAAGGCTTCCATTATTTTTAATCTGCTTTTACATGCGGATGAGGTTATTATGTTTGTATTTTCTACTAGTATGTTTTGGATGGTGTCTGATAAGTTTGTGTGTGTGTGTTTAAATTGGTTCTAATAGAGCTGTGGTCAGAGAGGTGTAACGTAAGGCATCTGCATAGGCATGTAGTTGTTTGACCGATGTAATTATTTATGAATTTGGTTTGATCAGGAACACAGTTCTTTAAGAGGCATTTAAACTCATAGATAATGTTCGTTCATTGTAATTTTGACTTTGCTGGTGTGTTGTTATTTTTGAGGATAAAGTTAGCTGTTTTAAATTTTTTGTAGTAGATAATTAATTTGTTTTTTTTTTATTTGGTTCAATTGGGGTAGTGTATTTCTAGTAGAAAATACAAACATAATAACCTCATCTACATGTAAAAAAAAAAAATCAAAAATAATGGAAGCCTTACTAATAAAAAAAGAAAAAACCAACATTTAATAATATTAACTCTGAACACAGCCACAAGGTGCTGTGTTTGGAAGATAAAACATCTCTATAACACTAAAAACACACTCAACCCATAAACCCAATTAAAAGGAAAAATAAAATCATCTTTGATAATGGCTAAAAGTATAGCTGAAAGCGCTCAGAATTATAGAACATTTGGACAGTTTCTACACATTCTGTGTCCAAAAAAGAAAACACTTATTCAAATACAAGAAAAATTAAATAAAAAGCTTAATTGTTGTACCTTGTCTGTCATTTTAATGAAATATGCATAAATGAAGGATTACTGCCTAAATACACAATATATATATATATATATATATATATATATGTATATATATTTATTATGTGCCATGGCCTTTCAGAATGTAGGTGATCCTGGCTCTCCACCTCCCCCTATCCCTTGCAGCTCTCAACAAGTTCCTTCCCTCTGCTTTCTCCCCTAGACCACGTTCTGTCATCCACTTGCAAGGTATGTCACATGTTGTTTTCCCTTGTCCCTCTTTCCCACTATTCGACCCATGAGTATCAGATTCTCCAGGCCCTCCTTTCTCATTACGTATCCTAGAAACTTCAGCTGCCTCTTAATATTAAGTATAAGCCTCCTCCTTGTTTGCATCCTCTCTAAGCCCTCATCATTATTCACACACTTGGTCCATGATAACCTTAGCATTCTTAGCATCTCTACAAACCCTAATCATGGCAAACAACTAACCCAAAATCTTTTGCTACCACCTATACCCAGTGGTGTAACCATGCTTAGTGGTTCGGTCCTCAGAGTTTTAGGACTATGCTTTAACAATGGGCTATGTGCTGGGCGCTAGTCCAAACTAGTTGTTGGTCACTGGCCACTTCAATCCACTCTTCTCACATTATTTTCTTGATCTCAGAGCAGTAGAAGATTGAAGGTCATAGTCTCGCAGTGCTGATCAAGTCATGGCGGGTGCTATATTATGGAAAAAAAATATAAAATGAGAAATTTGTGGGGTTAATCTTCAATTGGTTTATATAGCTCTTGGTTCAACAAAAAAAAACTCTTCCTGTATCAATCTCTATAGTGACACTGGGCTTTGCCTAAACTTCTGGAAGGCTGGATTCAAAGTCTTCGAATCAAAAATTCTGGTTGGCAGCTGGCGTGGATTTCAAAGGCACTCAATGCAGGATCTCAGCCCAAAATCAATAATCTCCCCAAAGTCATCAGTTTATATGAACTTAAGCCCAAAATTTGCATGGGGACGAAGGGTTCTGGGACTTTAGTGATTTCCCAATTTCCATTAATTCAAATAAAGGTTTTCTTTGTTCCCTATTTCTGCTTTCTTAATCAACTTTCCAAATTTGGAAAATTATCCACCTTCCTTGGGAGTAGTCACAGAGATTGCTTTCCTACTTAACCCCCATCTACTTCCCTTCACAACTCACCCTACTACTTTGCACAAGTGGAACCAAATTCTGTCCCTACCTCCTTCCTTCCTAGCATTCAACCTCAGCCCACTTCCCAAGGCATGCATAACTGTCTTTGTGACAAATCTAATTTTTAAAGCGTGTAGGTGGAAGGGCAGAGTTCCATTCCAGCCATTAATTTTAAATTCTCTGAATCTTTCTATTTTCCTGGAACCATCTCTGTCCAAAGAAAATACAAACCAGACGACCAATGACAAAATTTGTTTTCATAATTCCAGTTTTAATCATACAGTACATCCGACCTGTTAAGAGAAATTTGTTCTCATTTTAACCTTCCAAGTGATAGATAAAAATTATTTCCTAGTTTGCTTTCATCAGCGAAAATATATTTGTTTACTTAAATTCTCAACAAACAGATTCTCTATTTTCCATCCCCGGGCCAGTTAGTGTCTCAGCAAAAACTCAAACCAGATCACCTTCATGGCATGACATAACTGATTTTCATAACTTCAATCCTAAGAAAAAGGGTTTGTTCCTTGTTTTCATTTTTGTCAATGAAAAATAGGATTCTCATCTGTTTTTCTTTCCATAAATAATGTTTTTCTAATTTTGCTAGGAAGAGGTAAAATTACTTCCCCAAATCTGTTTTCGACCACATGCCTGACTCTCAATAGATAAGAAAAATAAACTTTTAAGAGAGAAGAAATTCAGTAATTTGAGTTTTGCTAAATTACTGCTTTAAAAGCAGTAATTTGAGCTTCGCTAAACTGGAAGTTCTCTGTGGCTGAACTGTCATAGGACATCAGGCTTAATGATGGTTCTGTATAGGATACAGGTTGGATTCCTATTGGAGGATGCATATTTTCTACAAAATTTCTCAAATGTTCAAGCCGGTAAATGTAATTAATTCTGTTTAATTAAAAAACGGAGCATTTACTCAAATAAGTGTATACATAAAAAAAAAATTTATAAACAGAAAATATATTAAGATATTTGATGATATATATATATATATATGTCAAACCCTGTCGAGATGTCCTTTCTCTATCCCCTTTCTCTTTCTCCCTTCTAGCTCTTTCTCTCACCCTTGAACCCTTTCTCTGTATTTTGACCATTCCTTCCTTTTTCTCTATATCTTATCCTCTTTCTTTTTCTTCCTTCCTCCTCCACCTCCTTTCACAAATTCTCACTCTTTTCTTTTTTTTTCTTTTTTCTGGCTTTAGGTCCCTAACCCCTATTCCTTTCTATGGTTCACATGCTTTTACCTCCTCCCCTCGCTCATTCTCTCCTTATCTCACCCACTGCCAACTTTTTTCATATATTTCTCCTTCAAAAATTCTTTTGAAAACTGCCCTACCCCAAAGATAGTTTTTTTTTCTCTTTTTTTATTTTTCTTCTGTGTTGATTTCATTTTTTTTTTTTTTTTTTCATTCTTTTAAAATTATTCAGATTGGCCCAAAAATGAAAAAAAAATATCCTGGTAAATGTAATTCATGAGTCAATATTTCTGTGTGTAAGGAAGGATGCAGATAAAACCTTTTGCAAACCAACATCTCTTGCCTGTTTGACTTGTACACTAAGTACAAATCAAAGATTATATTTTTCATATAATTTGTCAGAATTCAAAATTTAGAGTGGGTGAGTATAAGGGGTGGGGGAGGATTTAAAGGTAAATTAGGGAAACTTTCATTTTGCATCCTTGAATGCATTTTATTTCTACCTGTAATTGCTTAATTCAAAATGATTGACATAAGCAGTTTTCTGGCATTACTGGAATTGTTTCCTTCACTTAGACCTGCATTTAAAATTAAATTGAATAGAATCCATTTTTTTTTTTTTTTTTTTTTTTTTTTTTTTTTTTTTAGAATAACTGTTCAAATATTTACTTGTGAAGACTATGAAGATCTTACAAACCATTCATCAGGTACTCTATAAAATAGGGCCTTGTGCCATGTTTAGAATTCTTTGAGTAGAAGGAATTGGTGGAAAGAACAGAAAAATGAGCAGTACTGAGCACTAATGATAAGAGGGGGCACAGTGGAGTAATGGATAGTGGCTCAGAATGAGGAATCTGAGAGCCAAGTTCAAATTCCAGTCAAATCCATTACATTTACTTACGTGCTAATACTCTTGGGAAAGGTGTGAATCTTCCTCTTCTCCACTCCATCCCCCCTCCCACTATGAGTAAATAGCAGGACTGATCTATAGCTTTGGATGGCAACTGGTCTACCGCAGAAAGGAATGGCAACCTACTGCGGGAAAAAATCTGCCTTGTCATGTATCGAAAGATACATGATTGCCTAAGTGTGTATCATGCATGGCATATAACTGACTGAATGGTAAGATTCTCAAATTGAAAATATGGAATTATAATAGAGATCACCTTATTTGCGAATAGATATATCCATTGTCGGTCATGACAAAAGTCAGTGATAATTCATAGATTTCTACTTACTTAATTTTTTACCTTTTTTCTATTCTCTCTTGCATGTATTTGTATATTTGCACATGTGTATAGAAATATATCAACAAATATATTATGTATATGGGTAATTATTTTTAATGTTTATTTCCATATATATATAAGGTCGCTCTTGAGTGCTACTGATAATATATAACACAATTTAACTTGTCACATGGTTGGTCTGGTCATTAGCAACTAAACTAAACTGGCAACTCTACCAAGTTGGCTTGGTGAGGAGGTTGGTTGATCTTTGGACAAACTGCAGTATAAAAAATAAAACTTATTCAAAAGAGTGAAAGAATTAATGAAACTCAACAGTCATCCAATACCTGAGGTGCATTGTTCACTGGATCTGTTGACGATTACCAATATAAATTCATCTAGGACAAAAAACTATTATTCATCCCTCACATAAAATGCCTAAAAAAACAAATGTACCAGAGCCCAATAACTTTTGAGAGTAGTTTCAAATACAGAATGGGGAGCTGACTAGCAAAATCTCTTGAAATTATTGGATTATGGCAGTCTCGTATACTGATCTGCAAGGAAGTTGTACCTAAAAAAACTTGACCCTATTCACTATGAAGGTTTGAGATAGATCTTGGGAGCCTTCAGAACATCTCCAGGGGATAGCCTGTACGTTGAGGTTCATGAAGCACCTTTACAACTTAAAAAAGATGTAAAAAATTGTCCCTTCAATATCTCACAAAATCATATCGATTCAACCCTACCTCTGACTGTACCTTCAACCCAAGATATAAGCAAAGCTTTGAGCAAAAGAAAAATGCAATAAAACCTTTTGGCCTTCGTATAAAATCTACCTTTGAAGAAACTAAAATCAAAATAACTAATATTCACAAAACAATAATTTCTAAAACATTGCCATGGATGATCAAAAAGCCCAAAGTTAACCTCCAACTAAGCAAGCTCCTCACTTGTCATGATCAATTCCACAATTTGCAAACAGCATCCTAAACACTTCTACATTTTTACTGATGGCTCAAAAGACAATAACAAAATACCATGTGCATCTATTTCTAAAGAGAAAACTCCAAAGAAAGCTCTTCCAAAGGAAAGCTCAATTTTACAGCAGAAGTCTGTGCAATAGATCTGGCTCTTGACGTAATTTACGACAACAACTACAAAAACTCCATCATATTTCCAGATTCTTTCTCTCTATTAACAACACTAAAAAATAAAAAACCTAAAAGATCCCCAAATAATCAAACTACTAAACAGATTGGACTCTATATCCAATACCAGAAAGATCACATTATGCTGGATCCTGAGCCATGTCTGGGTAAAGGGCAATGCAAGAGCAGACTCGGCAGCCAAATTGGCTCTAGATTTAAAGTCTGACAAGTTTGAGATCACTTACACCAATCTGACGCCCCAAATCAACAGATTCCTTCATACAGAATGGAGTTGCACTGGAATAAAAACCTCCACAATAAACTTTTTTTTCTGTCAAACCCTTGATGGGAGAGTGGAAACCAGCCTTTAGGAAAGCTAGACAGGAAGAGGTTACAATATCATGACTATGTATTGGTCATGCCAAACTTACACACTTATTTCTACTTAAACAAGAACCACAACCAAAATTCCCAACCTGCCAAACTCCCTAAACTGTTAAACAGATTGTCATATAATGTGATGCTCTTACTCAAATAAGAAAATGATTCTACAAAGCAATTTAAATGATCTCTTCGAAAATTCAAACATTGACATCCTGTCCTTTTTGAAAGGTACAAAAATATACCAATAAATATAAATCCCAAAACTGGCCAACATCATAATTATTTTTTTTATTAATCCTTACACAAAAAAAAAACTGAAATATATATATATATATATATATATATATATATATATATATATATATATATATATTTTGTTGGATAGATGTGAGTTTGTGACCCCGGGTTTCATGCTTTAGTGATCATCAGCTGGCGATCACTAAAGCGTGAAACCCAGGGTCACAAACTCACATCTATCCAACCAAATAAGTTAGCTCTATCTCTGATATTGAGCAACAAGTACCATGCATATAATATATAAATAATTATATATATATATATATATATATATATATATATATATATATATACACACACTTTTCACACATACACACACATATATATATATATATTTATATCTATATACACACACTTTTCACACACACACACACACACACAATACAACATTTTTTCTTTTTCAATCATACACATAATATATGTGTATAAACAAGATTTGGCATTATATAATCCTCAAGGTTGATAGGCCATAAAGACCTAACCAATTATTGCCAAGGAGTGATGGTAGTTAAAATAATAGTGTCAAGGGAAAAAACATCCTTTTGACATACTATTTTTTTTTTTTTTTTTTTTTTGTGGGCATGAAAATTATACATTGCCTGTATGTGTATATTAGTAGTATAAATTTTAGTACTGTTTTCTATATCAAGCACTGTTTTGTTACAAAAAATACTCACTTTGCACTAGTGTGTGTGTGTGTATGCATATATATATATATATATATATATATATAATACACACACGCATATATTTTTTTATACTCCTCAGGTTTTCTGTCTGGATTTACTTTCATAACATTTTCTGTATTTGGATATGACCTCAAGGTAGAGGAGGACTGAAATCAAAAATTTCATTCCCCTAAATGGACTGCTTTCCTAGGCTTTTAATCTTCATCTACCCAAAGCAGCTATATATATATATATATATATATATATATATATATATATAATAAGTACATCTGTATTTATTATCATATTGCTCTGTTGCTTACATTGAGCTCTCTTTGGATTAATGTCCTCCTTGGAATTATCCCTACCAATTGAGATATATGCACTTTCATATGAGGCAATTGTTAGCAATCTTTTCTGGTTGTCCATTAATAAAACTATTTAGTTAGTACAATCCTTACTAGTTGCTCATACATGTGACCTTGTGTCAAAACTTAGTTAATCTTAGTAAATTATCTATATATATATATATATATATATAAAACATTAGGCAGCATATGATTTACATACAAAGAATAATCACACATAGAATTAATCAGAAGTATTAATGCGATTATTGGCGACATCCATCGCTAGAAAACATAATATATGCATTAAAATCCTGTTCATCCATAGTGCGAGTTTTGATCCTTGAAGAAAAACTTGTTGTCTGTAGTTTTTCAGTTTATTTGATGTTAAAATGCTAGTACTTACGGATAGTCTTCCATCCACCATCAGGCATGTGTTTTTTTTCCTTATAAAATCAAAAACTTCTAGCGATGGATGTCGCCAATAATCGCATTAATACTTCTGATTAATTCTATGTGTGATTATTCTTTGTGTGTGTGTGTGTATGTATATATATATATATATATATATATATATAATACACACACACATATAAATTTTTGAACAGATATTCTAAACAAAAATGGATTCTCTCTAATTTAAGTGTAAATTCAGGAAACAATCTGATTATGTTAATCATTTTGAATCCAGGAATAGCAGGTAATAAACAAAATATATCCAGGGATGCAAAAACAAAGTTTCTCTAATTTAGCTTTAAACCCTCCTCCCATGATAATCCTGTCTCTCTCTCTCCCCCAAATATATATATATATATATATATATAGTTTCATTAAAAATTTGAATTAATTATCTACTATAAAAATTTTAAACTGCTAACCTCATTGTCAGCAATAACAACTCACTTTCAAGATCCAAATAAGAGCCAATATTATTTATGAATTCACATGTTCCTTAAGGAACTGAGTTCCTGATAAATCCAAATTCATGAATAATTATATTGGATATACTACAGTATGCATAATGAGAAGACTTACATTACATCTCTACGACCATAGGTCAATTAGGACTCATTTAAATATACATGGAAACCTACTAAACTCTGTTCGCAACATATTCATTGATAATATGAATGTAATAGCCTCATCCACATGTACAGAATAGCTAAAAATAATGGAAACATTATTAATAAAAAAGAAAAAGCTAACAATAACATCAACTATTAAAATGACCACAATGTGCTGACCATGTTTGGAAAATAAAACGCATTCCTATATATATATATATATATATATATATATATATATATATATATATATATATAAATCCATACAGTAAAAATAAAATCATGCTTGATAATGGCTAAAAGTATAACCAAAAGTGTTTAGACATACAAAACATTCAGATAATTTTTACATAATTTATGTCCAGAAAAGAAAATTATAAGAACACTAGAAAAATGAAACAAAATAACTTAACCCCAGTACCTTGTCAGTCATTTTTAATGTAACTTGTATAAAGGTGGGATTGCTGCCCAAATACACAATTATCTATAGTATGCCGTAATGGATAACAGTTCAGCATGTGAACTTGGAGAGGCAAGTTTAAATTCCAGTCAATTTGTTACATTGACTTACATGCAAATACCATTAAGAAAGGTATGAATACATTTCTTCTCCCTCCCTCAGCTATGGGTTAAATAGCAGGACAGACTGGTTCCCAACCAGTTTACCACAGAAAAAAGTGTCGGCCTACTGCAGAAATTCTTCAGCCTAGTCAGTCATAAATTGAAAAAAAAAAACATGATCGCCCAAACGGGTATCACATATGGAACTTGACTGACATAAACAATTTCCACTGGTTGCACAGATACAACACTCTAATTGACGTGCTGATGCACACTGAAACTTCCAGATTTCATTAACAGAAACTCCGCCTCAATTTTGTTTTCAGACAAGGGCTGATCTGCTTGATGCCATGATTGATGTGTCTCCACCCAATGGTAGTGATGACAGCAGTAACGATGACAGGATGTCAGTGTCTAAGTTCAAGAACAAGAAAGGTATGTTGATACTAACTTTAAAATAAAAAATAAAAAAAGAAATAAATCAATCCCACTAGAAACACCTTCAGGTTTTGTTAGTTTCTCTTAGAACATATTCTGTTCTACCAACACCATTTAAAAAAAAAAGAAAAAAAGAAATAGTTTAAAAGGAAACAGATATTTTGGCAAAGTTTGATATACTTACCTGCCAAAAAAAAAAAAGATGGTGTCTCACAAGGACAGTTGTTTCTCTTGACACTGCTATTACCAATATCCTCCCTCAATAATTTCTATTGTTTTAAAAAGCTGTTTTTTAGAATTTTAATGAAACCCAAATTTACAGAACTGGATTTATGCATTCGCTTTCTTTCTTCCTTTTCTTTTCTTTTCTTTCTTTCTTTTTTCTCTTTTTTCTTTCTTTTTTCTTTCTTTTTTCTCTTTTTTCTTTCTTTTTTCTCTTTTTTCTTTCTTTTTCTCTTTTTTCTCTTTCTTTTTCTCTTTTTTCTTTCTTTTTCTCTTTTTTCTTTCTTTTTCTCTTTTTTCTTTCTTTTTCTCTTTTTTTCTTTCTTTTTCTCTTTTTTTCTTTCTTTTTCTCTTTTTTCTTTCTTTTTTTCTTTCTTTTCTATTTTTTCTTTTTGCTTTCTTTTTCTATTTTTTCTTTCTTTTTTTCTTTCTTTTTCTATTTTTTCTTTCTTTTTCTATTTTTTCTTTCTTTTTTTCTTTCTTTTTCTATTTTTTCTTTCTTTTTTTTCTTTTTCTATTTTTCTTTCTTTTCTATTTTTTCTTTCTTTTCTATTTTTTCTTTCTTTTTTTCTTTCTTTTTCTATTTTTTCTTTCTTTTTTTCTTTCTTTTTCTATTTTTTCTTTCTTTTTTCTTTCTTTTTCTATTTTTTCTTTCTTTTTTTTTCTATTTTTTCTTTTTTCTTTCTTTTTCTTTTTTCTTTCTTCTCTTTCTTTTTTCTTTCTCTCTTTCTTTTCTTTTTTCTTTTCTTTCTTTTTTCTTTCTTTCTTTCTTTCTTTTTTTTCAAGAATTGATGACAAAATAATTAAACACTATTTTATTAAATTATTTAATTACAAGAATAATTTTATATTTACAAGTTTTAAAAAAATATGTGAACCATCTACAACGCAATATTTATTATTTAACATATTATAAAGTAACTTTGAAAAAATTTTTTATTCATAAATTTATTAAAAAAAAAATGTCCAAACAAGAAAATTTAAATAAACACTTTGTGATGTGTCTGTCGATATTTCTGAGATGAGGTATTATGTACAGTATTTACATTAGTCGGACTATTGTCCTCATCTTTGTCGCCATATTTGTCACAGCGTTTCAGCCGTTGTACACTCCAGCCTTCTTCAGGTGATTGGAATTTCGAAATTCCAACCACCTGAAGAAGGCCGGAGTGTTCAACGGCTATGAGGACAATAGTCCGACTAATGTAAATACTGTACTTTGTAATGAGTAACTATAATTATAAATTTTCAAAGTAATGCATTTTTGGGATATTTCTTTCATTTGCTCTCACCATATAAATTCACTAAAACAGGTTGTGAGGCTCTGCATTTTAATTTTTTTTTTTCCTCAAAAATTAGCAATAAAAATGTTAGATGCTATTTATATTTATTTATTTATTAGACTGTTTAATATAAGAATAAAGTTTAATACTGTACTTGTCAATCTTTGAGAAAAAAAAAAGAATAGATAAATCCAGTTTCATGTTTGGGTTTTATTAAAATTCTAGAAATAACTTAAAACAATAAAAATTGCTGAGGAAATATACAGTAATAACTGTCAAAAGAAAATCCTTTTGATGATTTTTCTTTTTTTTTAAGGATATATATGCTAAACTTAACCAATATTTCCTTCCCATAAACATTATTTAATAAGAAATAATTTTTGATCAGCAAAAAAAATAGAATTGCATTCTTTTAGATTTGTCACAGTGCATTGGCATTGTATTAGCATTGTTATAGTGTTTTAACATTGTTAGATTTGTTAGTGTGTTAGCTTTGTGTTAGACTTGTTAGAGCATTGTGTTAGACTTGTTATAGTGCGTTAGTATTGTTAGATACATTGGATTTGTCAGAGTGCGTTAGCATTGTTACAGTGTGTTAACATTGTGCTAGATTATGAATCTATGATTGCTAAGTGTCTGGTAAATGATAACTCATGATAGTCAAGGCTTTGGTGTAGGAGTATCTGGAGACATTGTTGGTTAAGGAAGTGTTATTAAAAACCACAGATTCTTAGGGGTTAATTATGCAATTACTTATAGTGTACATTGTCTTTATTCTTGTGTTTTCCTAAAACATTTACCTTAGGTCAACCAATGACTTGTAAATTACTTACCTGTGGGTAATGTTGTTACTATTCCTAAACTCTCTTAAAACATTGTTGTTTCAAGTTAGCAACACATGAATTAATTCATACTTCCATTGGAGTGAAATAAAAAAAATAACATTTAGCCAAAATATGTAAAAGCCTATCACCAGTTACCTTTACCAGTATTTAACCACCAACAACGGTGTTGCTTGTCATTCACAGCATTAAAAAATGTAAAGTTTAAAAGAGGTAAGTAAAAAAAAAAAAAAAATCTTTTCTAAATCTATTGAAATTTTCAAAATTTCTATAACAGAATTTTCTCTTGAAAATCCATGTCTCACTACATTCTATTCTGGTTTTCTTCTGGGCATTTCATCGTAGGGTAATGGTTACCCAACTAATCTTGCACTTCTGAAAATCCAGCCTTCCTTCAGCGTCTGTTATATTTTTGGAGTGCTATTCAGTGATAAAAGGTTAAACTTTTCACAAGATTTAAAGAGACAAACCATTGATGAAATTATAGTTCTCTCTTACAGACATTATATGACTTGCGATTTTTGTTAATTTAGTTTAAAGGATATTAAAAGTAAAACCTACAAATTCAAGTATAATAGGATGCAAGACAGAAAGCCAATTCAATGTTTGTAAAATCTATCAAGGAGATAGTGAAATGTCTAAATTTAAAATTTTTTTAAAATTATTTTTAGCGTGTATATTAGTAAAAAAAATAAAACTATTTTTTGAACAACATCAGATAATTTTTTATACAAGTATTTTTAGTTATAAATTACAAAGGTCTTAAAATTGTTTGATTAATATAATTGGTTGGAAAATAAAATCTATCAAATTTGGTAAAACTTTTAGGATACACATTTTCATAGGTTCAATAAAATTATAAGTTATTGAAAAATATTAATAACTTCTTTTATGAGTATTGCATAAACAAAACACAACATAATTGTTTATTTATCAATAAAACCAAAAGATATAGGCCACAGAAATATATTGGATAGTGTGTTAATCAAATATAACGGAATAAAATATTATTTACATTTTAATATAGGCTCCTTGAAATTCTATAACCTTCATCAATCTTTGCTAACTTTTCTACCATTTCCACTTTCACATTACTTACAGCAGATTTTTTGCTTCCAAGAGATCTTTGCTTAAATATTCTCATTCTACTCTGCGTCTCTTTTAACAATCAACCACAAGTTTTTATTGGATTAATATCTTTTTCTTTTTTATTAATGTTCACCAAATACAAGGCCTAAGAGCCACTCAATGTAGGGGGGTTTCTCTGTAGTGTTGTATGAGCATAAGAAAGGACGAGAAGTGAAGTTCTTGGGGCTATGCGGGAAAGATAATGGCTAGTTCTAGACTTGAAGAGCTGAAGATTTAATAGTGAATAAAACATTTCAGAGTTAGAGATGCTAGTGCGTAGTGTGAAAGTAGACTTTGGAAGTAACCGGAAACCCAATCCTAAACAGGAAATCAAAGGATAACCCTCTATTCCTGTTCAAAAGACCGGGGAGGTGTGTGAACCAGATGATAGGCAAACCTATCTACTCCTATTAGGAGAGACTGGCCATTCTATTGTCTTTAAAACAAAATGGTCAATTGCTTGCTTGCAGAATGTGAATGAATATTTTCTTGCATTTATATACTCTTTAGTTTATAACTTCTTGGTTAAGAAAAAACTTGCCTAAAAACGGAAGATCATTTTTTTGCATTTATGTTGTTACCATCATCAATTTTGAGGATCTTATAGTTTCAGTGAATACAATACTATCCCAAAACATAATCCTGGGTATGACGATAAACTACACCCGGCAGTAAAGTCTCTGATCAGAAGATTGGAGGTTTTGAGGAGTTGTTAGCACTTGTTAGGATCCCAGCTATGGGCAAATAATGAACACCCAAACAAAAACAAAACACTATGAAACATTTTTATAGTAAAAATACTAGCAATGTATTTTTTATACAAAAAATTACCAACAATACATTTTTATAGTAAAATGACCAACAATACATTTTATCTGTAGGCATACATTTACATTCAAAATATTTATCTGAAGGCATGCAATTACATTCAAAATATATTTAATTGAAGCCATAAAATTGTGTTCAAAATATTTAGATTTTAACCCCTTATTCTCTCAGATGGGCAGTTCCACTTTAATATATTTCTTTTTACTTTCTGTATTCTTTGTGAGGCGAATAAAGCATTTAATAAGGTCACTAGCTTCTTGTGGTTTTATTATAGGCATTAAATAACCCCTAGAAATTGATATACTGCTAAACAAAATTGAACAACATGAAAGAATTCCTTCATGACATTAAGCCATATAACATCCTACAATTTCTTAAATCAAACTGTATTGCCAAATATAACTTCAACAAAAGTAGAACATAAAACATACCTATTACTGCCTCTAGTAATTATTTTCATTCAAACATATATATGCACAAAAGATGAGTATCATCTACCATGTATTCAATTGTGAAAGCAGAATAACATATATTTTTATTACTCCAAAGCTCCCAAGAAAATTAAATTTTTGCATTAAATGATCCATAAGTAGTTGATATGCCATTAAACAAACTATCCAAAAACATTACTCTATTACATCCCTGTTGTTTTCTAAATTGTTTAACTATTAACTTCTTGCCATGAAGAATCTGACCCCTAAACCAGCCAATTTATCACTAAAAAATACTACTGAGAAATCATTTTCATGTAATTCATTACCTAAGGTTTCTTTTTGTGATGCTTACTTAAATGTCATAGTTTAGTTGCTTTCATATCTTTAGTCATTAATATTATGTAATATATTTTATATTATATTTTATATTAATATAATTTAAGTTTAGTTTTAGGTCATTTTTATATCTTTTTTATATTATTTTTTATTATATTTTATATTATTTTAGTAATATATTTTATATTATTTTAGTCATTAATATTATGTATTATATTTTTTTATTATATTTTTTATATTATATTTTTATATTATGTCAATATAAGTTTAGTTGCTTTCATATCTTTAGTCATTAATATTATGTAGTAATATATTTTATATTATTTTTGTATTATATTTTTTATATTATATTTTTATATTATGTCAATATAAGTTTAGTTGCTTTCATATCTTTAGTCATTAATATTATGTAGTAATATATTTTATATTATTTTGTATTATATTTTTATATTATATTTTTATATTATGTCAATATAAGTTTAGTTGCTTTCATATCTTTAGTCATTAATATTATGTAGTAATATATTTTATATTATTTTTATTATATTTTTTATATTATATTTTTATATTATGTCAATATAAGTTTAGTTGCTTTCATATCTTTAGTCATTAATATTATGTAGTAATATATTTTATATTATTTTTTATTATATTTTTATATTATATTTTTTTTTATATTATGTCAATATAAGTTTTAATTATGCATTTCAATCTTTATATTAATATTATGTAGTAATATATTTTATATTATTTTTGTATTATATTTTTTATATTATATTTTATATTATGTCAATATAAGTTTAATATATTTTATATTAATTTTATAATTATTTTATTTTTTTGTATTATATTTTATTTATATTTTTTATATTATGTCAATATAAGTTTAGTTGCTTTCATATCTTTAGTCATTAATATTATGTAGTAATATATTTTATATT